TGGGCCAAATTACTTTCCTTGAGAAACAAGCTTCTAGATAAAACTTAATGTTTCATCCCGTTTCTCTCTGGGTGTTTAATCACAAGGAATGTAATTGTTTTAGACCACTTTCACGATTACTTAAAACATAATGAGATGCAATCCAACTCTACTTCACCCAGCCGACAACTTTTTGTTATCACCGCAAGGTTTCTGGTTGTCCGATGCTTCGAGTATAGATTGATCTCCTTTCACACACACATTCACACAGACGTCTTTAAATCAAAATGAACCCCGTTCACTTTTAACTGCAGTAAAAAGTAGTCCCCGACTTACTCTGAATAATAACCCCGTTATTATTACAGTCTATGATAGTTCCCGACTATCTAAAAGAATAACCTGTTGTTATTCCGGGCTCCCCCTCTGACTGTCTTTAATAGCTCTCTGACTATTAGAAGGATAAAACCTCGTTATCCCAGGCCTAAGAAATAGCTCCTCGACTATTAAAAGGATAAACCTCGTTATCCCCGGCCTCTTTTTTGAGTCAAAAGTAAATTGACTTCAAAAGTAAATTCACACTTGCCTGTTATCGCGATGTCCGTGGCTTTTGTGTCTTCAATCCGAAATTCGAAGCTGATCAAACCCCACACAGAGAGACTGTTGCTGCAGTTGTTTTTCGACCTGCAACCTCCAAGCCACGCTGCTGTTTCAGCTCTTCAGTAGGACGACGGTCAGCTCCAAAAAATGATGTTTTGACATCCGGCTCAAGAAGGACCAAAATATGTTAACGCTGGTTCAGCCACGGTTTCTCCTTCGATGAAAAATGGACCACAAATTCTGCTTAGATATATAAAAAAGGTTTAATATATAAAAGACAGAATATAAGATACAGACAAGTGGCAGACTGCTTGATCCAGTCCGGGTCCTCTCCCTTGCACACCCAAAGCAAAAAGACACTGCTTCAAGAACAAGCTATCGATGATAAGCACACAGTCACATGACCATGATAATTGAAAACACATGTCTCACCATCCTTAGGTGAACACAATAGTCCTCTGTTCAAGGACACACAAATAGCCCCTGTGTAAGTAAGCCTGAGGCTTACTCTAAACAGATGTTCTCTGGTAATCTAACTTCCTGTGTATAATAGCTGGGGGATGATTCACACATTCTTCACTCTGCAGACTAGCTACTAGATCCATACTAGACTAAACGTTACATTTATTAATATGATAATAACACAATAACATACTCCATTGACACTTTCACAATGGTGAATGCAAGGGGTGGCGGGGCGTGACGGACGCGTCAGCGCCCGTCACTCACCCCAACGTGACGGTTGCGTGCGTAAACTCAAACGCTTTAAAATGATGTATCACGTGCCATTGAAACCCATATTGTTTTTGCTCGAGACGTCGAAACATTTTTTCCTTATTTCTTTCTTTCCTTCTTTCTTTCTTTCTTTCTTTCTTTTTTCTTCTGCACTTTGAGCCTTAATTTGACCCCCTGAACATTGATGAAAAGTTGTTAAATTTTGCCCAAAAATCAGACCTGGTGAAAAATTCTATATTTTGGTGTATATTTTTATGGCACTCAAAAAATGCCAGAACAGCGCCACCTACAACAGCCAAAATAATATCCCTATTGGACTTTTGGAGATCAAGTTTGTTGTATAGTCATGAAATTCGGTACACATGTTCCTCAAGTCAAGACAAGAAAAAAATATTATTATGGCCCCGCCCTCTGACAAACAGGAAGCCCATACATTTCACTGCAAAATGGAAAAATGAACAGCAAAAGTTTTCATACATGTCGGTTGGAAAGCGACTCCTCCTCGGCCGTTTCACCGATTCACCTCAAATTCGCTCCACATCATCTCAACACATGTACCTTCAAAATGACCTCAGGGATTTTTGATCAGTGAAACATTGTTTGAGCAGCGGAGCGGCAAAATGTGAGGTTCCGTTTTTGACACTATTAAATTTGCTCCCGTTTGCACATACAAAGTCTGATTTGCACAAAACTTTAATACATGGTTCAACTCTAGGGTCTAGGTCATTTGAAAGTGAATTGATTCAAATTGACACATTAGCGCCCCCTACAGACTATTTCAAAGTTTTAGATGGGCATGGTCAAATTTAGTTTTTTCAAAATGTTTGAAATTTTGCACATAAATCTGTTTTGCCCTCTTGATTCAAAAAGTCAATAGGGTCCAAGGCTTATTTTTTAACTTGTTGCCGTGGCGACGACAAACGCTCACCATTCATTGCAAATGTACACCTCACACAAACATCAAACCAGCTTCTGCCATTTCACCGATTCGCCTCAAAATTGCTCCACATCATCTCAACATATGTACCATCAAAATAACTTCAGGGATTTTTGATCAGTGAATTATTGTTTGAGCAGCGGAGCGCCAAAAAGTGGCGTGTTTTTTTTCAGTTTTGGACAATAGAAAAATTGCTTCCGTTTGCACAAACAAAGTCTGATTTGCACAAAACTTGAATCCATGGTTCAACTCTTGGGTCTAGGTCATTTGAAAGTTAAAATTTTGAAATTGGCTCTATAGCGCCACCTACAACAGCCAATTTAAAAATGCCTATGGGAGGGGTCAAAATTGTCGTAGAACCATGTAATTTGGAACACATGTTCCTCAAGTCAAGACATGGAAAAAATGTTATCATGGCTAATCCCTCTGACAAACAGGAAGCCCATAAATTTCATTGTAAAATGGAAAAATGAAAACCAATCATTTTCATACACGTTGGTTGGAAAGCGACTCCTCCTCGGCCGTTTCACCGATTGGCCTAAAAATTGTTCGAAATCATCTCAACACATTTACCTTCAAAATGACTTCAGGAAATTTTGATCAGTGAAACGTTGTTTGAGCAGCGGAGCGGCAACATTTTTACACTGTACACTCATGATTGTGTGTCTTCCTCAGACTCTAACCTGATCATCAAATATGCTGATGACACCACCATCATCGGTCTCATCAGTAATAACGATGAATCGTCTTATAGAGCCGAGATCCAAAACGTGGTTCAGTGGAGTAAGGCTAACAACCTCCAGCTGAACGCATCCAAAACATGTGAACTGGTCTTTGATTTCAGTCGCAATAGTTCTCATTTGCCTGTCGCAATTGAGAACTCCCAAGTGCAGATTGTAGAGGAGTGTAAGTTTCTGGGTCTAACTCTGTCTAATGACCTGAAATGGGTTAAAAACACTGACCGGGTCGTAAAGAAAGCTCGTCAGCGTCTCTACTTCCTGCGGAAACTTAGAGAATTTACCACTAACTCTAAGATTCTGCTGAACTTTTATCGCTGCACCATTGAGAGTTTACTTGTTGGTTCTGTGTGGTTCGGTAACATCACAGATAAAGAAAAGAGAGCTCTAAACAAGGTGCTCCGCTCTGCTAAGAGGACTGTGGGCTGTGAGCTTCCTGTTCTGGAGGTTCTATATCAATCCAGACTTTTTAACAGTGCCCTGAGAATTATCAATGACTCTTCTGGCCACCCAGGAAAAGCCTTGTTCCAGCTTCTTCCCTCTGGCAGAAGATACTGTTCTCTGAGATGCAGGACATCTCGTTATGCTAATAGTTTTTTTCCACGAGCTGTTAACAGTTTGAATAGAGCACTTTAATGTTTTTTGCACTCGTATAGATCTGTTTTAAGTTGGTCAACTTCACTTCACGGTGACATTTGTTTACTGTTTTTAAAATTTGTTTTATTTCTGTCTTTTAATGTTGTTTTGTGTCTGTACTTGTCCTGTGCACACTGGGAACTTTTACAAACGTATTCCAATGTAGTGTTACTGCAAATGGCAATAAATGAATCTGAATCTGAATCTGAATGTGAGGGTTTTTTTGGCCGTTTTTGACAACATTCATTTTTTTCCCGTTTGCACAAACAAAGTCTGATTTGCATTAAACTTGAATCCATTGTTCAACTCCAGGGTTTACGTCAGGTGAAAGTGAAATATTTGAAATTGGCCCATTAGCGCCCCCTAAACACTGAGTCAAAGTTTACATGGGGAGCCAAACCAGCTCTGCTCATCATATTCATTACAATTTGACTAACAATCTTCTATGGCTACGGGAACAAATCATCACACGGCGGCGCCACCTCCTTTGAGCGGTGCTGCGTGGTACGGTGTGGTGCGACGTAGTGTGGGGCGTTGTGGAGTGGGGCGTTGTGGAGTAGCGCGTTGCGGCTTGGCGCGGGGCGGCGTGATGCGGGACGGCGTGGTGCGGGGCGGCTTGGCACGGGGTGGTGCGCGCGGTGCGGGGGGTGCGCGCAATGCGGGAGGTCGCGCGTTGCGGCGAGGGCCGTTCGACGCCGCTTGCGGCTTTAATTATCATTATTATTATAGTTTAACAGTATGTGACTTTGTGGTATCAGATTATGCGTCAGCCATCTTCAGAAACAGACTGAGCATTGATCCTACAGTTTGAATACATGCTCCGGTCTCCTTCTCAAAGACATCACCCCATGATTTGCTCCAAAGGCACTGGTCCTGATCGTTGCAGAGCAGGGCTGTCAAACCTGTTCTCAAACGACCAGTGTGGCTAAAGTATTTCATTTCAGCCAAGAAAGGAAACACCAGACTCCATTCAAGAGTTCAGTCTTGACTCCTGCTCGGTTGGAATGAAATCCTGCAGCCAAACAGGCCTTTTGACGACTGCTCTGACATCTCTGCTCTAGAGACTGAAGATGTTCAGGACGGATCTCATCCACACCCAGGTTCTTGCACCGAGGAGGTCACCAACGACCTCTGACTTCAGCCAGAGAGATGGAAGTATCCGTCCCAAGGTCTTCAAACTGGAGGACGGGGGTCGAGGAGAACTTTAAAGTGCTCTTCCACCGTCCAACAGTCCTTCCAGTATCTACAGCTGCTCTGTAAACACTGCTGATCAAAGTGAATATATATTATGCATTATAATTGTTTATCTAAAGCGATGTATCAAAGGAAAACAATGGCATCTGAAGAAACTACAGCATATTTGAAAAGCTCTTTTGCGCTCACTGCTCCACACTGAAGTAGACGCACTCGCTCCATGTGTCATGTGACTGTCTCCTTCTGTTCACCTGCTCTGTGGCCTTGTACTGCAGACGTTTGGGAACATCCTGATACAGAGCAAAATAAAAACACATCGTGATCCTTTCATGTGATTTCATTGAAACTAACCCACAGGAAACAAGTCCATACCTTTGTCTCAGCTGCAGCACTTCTCAGGGATCTGTCTGCAAAGAAGAATGGGTCAAAACTGAGAATGAGGAGATGCTATTTAGACAACATGAGAAAGATAATCAAAGAGGACACACCAAACTTCTTTCTCAAACAACAGATCAGAGAATCAAACAGCTCGAACACAGTAAATGCAATAATAATAAAACACAAAGGATTGATAGGTCCATAGGGAGCGGGACGACCACTGTCTAGAAATATCCTGGATCATCCCTGTCCTTAGACCCTCCTGCGTTTTTGATTCTTATTATTATATGTTTAGTGGATTGAAAATCTCAATATTGATCTAAAATGATCCCATTAAGAGTTGAGTCTGCTTCTTTCCTCTGTCTGTGTTTGGTCAGAGGAGGATATGAATAACTCGAAAACCCCTGTGAGTGTAAACGACAAAGATAAATGATTATAGCAAGTCGCTTATGTTTGCTCTAATATAAGGTTTGGTGAGGTTGTATCACCTTTAAAGTTAGTTTGCTGAGGTCTAAGCCAGATTTAGTCTGTTGTCTCTTTGTTTTACCCTTGTTTTATTCACACCACATGAAATAAATTTTCAACAGTTTTTAGCATCCATCCATATTCTTCCCTTTAATCCATTTCTGGGTCGGGGGGATGGCAGTCAGAGCTGCACCCAGTACACATAGCACCAGCCCCTCACTGATCCTCCTGCGGGTGGTGAGTCCACCGGAGCCTTGATCTTTCAGCGGGGGCTTCAGGCAAAGTTGGGTTAAGTGTCTTGTCCAATGACACAACGACAGCAGTCATCAGTGGGAGCCGTGATGTAGGTCTCATGGTGGGCTGGAACCCACAACCTTCGGGCCCAAATGCCAATGCTCTACCATCTGAGCCACCGTCGCCCACAGTTCTTACCTGTGTTGTTATTTGTGCACAAGCAGAAAGAGAGTCCAACAACCAGACTGGTGCTGAACACAGACACTCCACTCAAGACATAGATCAACATGTCTGAGACTTCTACAAATGAACAGAAAGGGAATGATCAGACTGTTATTGGGTTTATTCCAAAGATGTAGCTCACCCCTGATCCTGACTTCGGTTCCGTTCCCAAACAGGACCTGTCCACAGAGGTCCACAGCGCAGTAGTACGTCCCAGTTTGCCCTGAGCTCATGTTATGAATGTGGAGGTTGTAGAAGCAGGAGTTTGTCGGGTTTGTTTTGTCGCTCTGGCACTGATCCTCGCCGTAGAGCACTGCTGCAGACTTTTCAGACTGTCTGAACCAATGGACCCTGTGTGGCCCCAGACACGTTCCAGAATCAACCTCACAGCGAAGGACCAGAGAATGTCCTGCTTCCACTGGTCCTGACACCGTTTGATGGACGCCGAGTCCAGGGTTCAAAGTCTTTACAAAGACGTGAACAGACGCCAAGAACTCGATTTGATGAGCCAATCCACTGAGGCAATGATAAACAGCGGAATCCGAAATTCTGACCTTTGATATTTCAAGATTGTTTTTATCGCCTTCATCGTCCAGTTTGAAGCGATCATTGTTGGCGAAGTCACCGTAAAATTTAGCTCCAAAGTAAGAAGAAACCACAGCCGTAGTGTTGTCCAGACCCTGTTTGTACCAGTAAAGTCTACCTTGAAGTTTGTTTTTATTGAAGCACGGCAAAGTCACATTCTCTCCAAGTGCCACTGGTAAGACCGTCGTCTTCACTGTTGCACCTCCATCTGTCCACGGCTGAGAATCTTTGCTCTTCACTGAACGAAAGAAAAGGTAGAAGTTAGAGCAGGGTGGAGATAAGACTCAGACACGGCGACAGAAACTCACCCTTGACCAGATGTACGAGAAGGAGGCAACAGACCATCTGCACAGGAGACATTCTCTTCAAACTCTCTTCTTCACTGAACTGCATCCTGACTTTGTCAAGAAATAAGCTCGACTCTGATTGGCCGAGCTGAAGTCGCACCACACAGTGACAGGAACACTTAAAGATCGGGGAGATTGGTGTTTTTCCTCCACATATACCCACAGACACAGACACACCTACAACATCCTCATTGGTTTGAGAGACACAGAGGCAAACTGCCTTTTTTAAAGCTAAAAGGTGTAATTTTTGAGAGATGGCGGGTCACTCACTCGGCAAGGCAGATTTTATTTGTATAGCACAGTTCATACACAAGGAAACTCAAAGGTGTTTAACAAAACAACAGTTGTATACACAGCTAAACAGAACTGTTTTTGACCTGGATTTGAACATTGTCAGAGAAGAAGCCTGTCTCACATTTTTAGGAAGAATGTTCCAACTGTGGTCTCCTCACCACTAACACACAGCAGAGCTAAAGCTGTGTGTTCCGTTCTATAGGTCACTGATTCCCAAACAGTTCTGGCCGGGACTTCACTGAAGAATAGATAGTATTAATAAACTAGCTGAATCCATGGAAGTCTCATTATGGGAGTCATTAGTTGTGGCCTTTGATATTAGTTCATTGAAATGCTGATGTCTATGAGAAAGACATATATGTAGTAAGTATTGTATAGATGCGGTGGTGGAGGCAGTGAAGCTACAGGTGAACACCGGAGTAAACACAGTCTGTCTGAGCCGTGACTCTCTGTCGTCTGGAAGAAGACTGAACGTTCAGAGCAGCGTAGTGAAGAGAGTCTTCGTCCTGCTCCTGACAATAACAAACACAGACACACGTTTCTGTCTCTTCACAATGTAATTCATCTCAATAACACACTCTAGTTTTAATGAGACAAAGAGTGAAAAGAAGCTAGTCCTGCTTAAACCCAGGTTTTTGGGTGGTAGACTTCCACCTTCATCAGAGGAGACACGTGACAGTGACGAGTCTCTGATCTGCTGCTGTTACTGATGCGTCTCTGGAGAAGTGAGTCCTATGTGTGAGTCAAGGTGAAGGCCCCCTCGTCTCTGTTGATGGTCTGAGAGCCCGTTTCTTTTATTTCAATGATCAGAGACATGTTGTTCCATCACGTGTCTCCTCTGATGAAGCTGGAAGTTTACCGCCCAAACATGTGGTGATTAAGCAGGACTAGCTTCTATACACTTATTAAAAAGACTTTTTCGGCCTTAAATACAGGAATACAAAATCAGATTTTGACATAATTTACTCACCTCTCTGTTTGTCATCGACAGCATTCTGGATTTGAGTTCTGTGATGAAACATGAAATTCGGCTTTTGGCTTTTCTTTACTGAAAAATGACAATACTAATCATTATGCATTACACTGTGGTGCTGAGTGCAGTAACAGCTGTCCAGGGGCAGACTGACACAACTGAGGCTGCCAGTCTGCACCAACGGACCACCACCAACACTCACTCACATGTCTCATTCAGAAAGTATGAGTACGCACATGTCACATCAAGCTCATAATCTGTTAAAGCTTGACTTGAGAGATTTGGTCCAACAATGTTGCTGCTTTGGGAAGTCGTCAAGTTTGTCCTGATAATACATGTTCTGTACATAATTTGGAAAACTAATAGATAAAAGTAAGATTCCACAGCATAAGTTCAAAGTCAGCCACACACCTCAGCTATGATACGAGCAGTGAAAAGGATCGGGGAAAGGACTGTTACCTGTGGAAACCTTCATGTTTTTCCTTAGGGCTCTGATCAGTAAGAAAGCCAGGAACATCACCAGGACTGAGGCCAACGCCAAGGCTCCACTCAACACCTTCACAATAAATCCACCTGAAACACCATGTTTAAACAAAAAGGAAGATTTGATTGAATTGATTGTTATCAAGGAGCACAAACAGAAGCTGAAACTACTGCCACAAATGTGATCACAGAATCAGTAATAGATTCTTTTGGAGTTGGAGCACAGTTCGCGTCATAGTCAGGAACTATTAGAAGGTAAATCTCCAAACTGCTGAAGAGGCAGTGTTTCAGATTAATGCAGCTAAAATCTTTCTTTGATAATGTTAAAATCTAGGTTAAAACAGTTTAGCTGTGCATACAACTGAAGGATTGTATCTTCACCGGGAGTCACACTACTTTAGAAAGGACAATTTTGACCTCTCTTTTGACTTAGCACTACTTTATGCAATCACCAGGGTTTATGTGTCAGCATGTTAGTTTGTTAGTTTGTTAGTTATTTAGCAGATTTTTTTAAAAATGGGAACAAATGGGGACAATTCTGAGAAAGGTGCGCATCACTTTCTGGATCCACAATTGTTTAAAATTAACTCTTGGTGAAAGTCTGTGCTCTGCGAGTGCTTTTCTAGTAACCATGTAACTGTCTAATTCCAGCCAAATGAGACAAAATAACCCACCTCTGATCCTGAGCCTGGTCCCGTTCCCGAACAGGACTTGTCCACAGGCGGCCACAGCGCAGTAGTACGTCCCAGTTTGCTCTGAGTTCACGTTATGAATGTGGAGGTTGTAGAAGCAGGAGTTTGTTGGACTGTCCATGCTTTTCTCGCACTGATCACTACTATTCCCACGACTGTAGAGAACTCCTGCTGTGGATTCTTCAGACTTCTTGAACCAGTGAACGCTGTGTGCTTCATTACAGCTCCCAGTCTGGACACTACAGTTTAAACTCACAGATTCCCCTCGATCTATATCCACAAGTTGAGTCTGAAGGACCTCAGCCGTTAGCTTGGAACTCTGAACAACCACCAAGATGCTTTCCAAGAACACATTATGGTGTAAAAAGCACCGCACACAGTGATAAAGGGCAGAATCATTCACCCTCACGCTCTGGATGTGCAGGTTATAGACGGAGTCGTTGTTCTCGACTGTAAAGCGATCCCCGGTTCCAAATCCTTCATGAATTTGGGTTTTCTTGTCGACCCTCTTGTCGTATAGAAAGAAGGACGAGATGACAGTTGGTTTCTTACCCAGACTTTGCTTGTACCAATAAAGATTTGCCCCAAGGCCGGCGTTTTTGTCAGAAAAGCAACGCAATGTTACGTTATCTCCAGCTGTGGCTGAGAGGAAGCTGCTGTTCACCCATGGCCCGTTCATCTGAGCTGAAAAAAACCAACAACATTTATTTTACAACAAGTCCTCATTCTGTAGAGATTGTCTGAAGAACTCACCGGTAGCAGCCAGCAGTAACCAACACACCAGGCTCAGAGGTTGCAATGGTCCCATCTCACTCGAGTTCTGGTGAAATGAGGTGTACGGTCAGACTCACCTCTTTTGAGACTCAAGCTCGCGTGTGATTGGTGGATCAGAAGACACACTGTACAATGAGGTTGAGAAAGCGAAGTCACGTGATTGTTTTTTTTTCTTCTCCTTTTTCCATTCAGAGTTTGGTAAACATTGACCTAGAACCAACTTTCTCAGAAGTTGGTTCAGATGATAAAAAGTACTTTGGTGACTTTGGCCAGCTATAGAATATTGCTGTTGTTTTTGGCCTTTATTTAAACAGGAAAATCACACTGAGAGGAGGGTGTTGTCACAGACTATTGTACATGTTTTTAGTGGTAGGGGAAACCCTAGTGCCTGGAGGAAACCTACGCAGACACAAGGAGAACATGTAAACTGTAAACCTGAAGGTGGAATTGAACCCAGGACCTACTCACAAGGGCTAACCACTGCTCCACCGTGTCACCCATTTAAAAAGGGGATTTATGGAAGATTTTGGAACTTTTCAGATTTCACACAACACCACATTGTATTAATATCCCGTTTCCATGACAACGTGGAAACAAACCAACACATGCAGGCTGTTCACAATAAGAGTAAGAGGGGGGGTTTCTTTCCCGGCGCAGGTTTTTGTGACAAACTGTTTACAACTGAGAGAACTTCAGTCTTGGCAGTAACAGCAGATTCAGGTATAGCTGTGAAAAAGTCATGTTTGACCCAAATTCTCATCTTTTTGAATTATGAAAAGTGTGCACAGTGGTCTTTCGTATTTTGTGGTCTCAATCTTTAACTCTTTTTCTCATTTCTCGTGTGTGTCGTTTTGTGTGTTTTTTTTCTCTACAGTGTGTTTCTAATGTTCTGTGTGTATACTCCAACATAATCATACAATACAATACAATACAAAACTTGGCAGTGGTGAGTTCAGTTGGTTAGAAAAGTGTGAGGATTTTACAGACTGTAAACATTGAACTGAACGAAACCCCTGCGATGAACGAGGGACTAATGTGTTTCAACGACCTCCAAGATTTACTTTTATTTTATACATGTTTTACTGTCAGGGCCTTCGTTCTGTTCCAGTGGGGCTGGTGTTGGTGTCTGATCTCAATGGTCTATTTATTTTTATTTTAGATCTGCTGATAGAGAATTGAAATCGTGTCCATTTCCAGTAACAACAGATGTTTGTGGGTTGTGCTCCCCTGGCATGTATCTCAGTATTGCTATGAGACTGTATTTTGTAACGGCAGATGGCAATAAACTCTCAAACACTTGAAACACTCTGATGATACGAGCTGTAACTTTGCATCGGGTGGAATGCTCCTTGAACAATGTCTGTCTCTGCTTTCGAGGGTTATCTTTTTCTTGTCTTTCCTGTTTGGAGCGATCTGAACGCACACCTGCAGACCTGAGCCCCAGTGTCAGGGCTGGACTGGCCATTGAGCGTACTGGGCAATGCCAAAGGACTATTCTCTGCTTGTTGTGTGCGTGTCTTTGCGTAACCAGTGTACAAAATAAATACAGCGCTGCAAGAAACAGTCCGCGTCTTCCCAAAGCGCAACTAAACTCTCTAAATTAAAGCTGGGGTACATACAGTTCATGTTGGTTGTGCCCAAAAGTAAAATGTTGTGAACAAATCAAGCAGATTTAATGACAGTCATTGGCTGACATAATACATTTCAGACTTCTTTGAAATGTCCCTCATCCCTGTTACAAACAATAGTTGTGGTACTATGTCCATCTCCCTCATTCTGTAGTGACATTAAATGTGAAAAGTTAATTTTGTCTTCTTATGTTTAAGGCTCTCAAAAGAGTAAAGAAAGCTTGTACTGTTTAATTACCTGATGTGTTTCGGCGGTAAACGTGTCACCTCTGATGAAGGCGGAAGTCTACCGCCGAAACATGTCAGGTAATTAAACAGTACTAGCTTTCTTAACTTTCTAGTCTTATTAAAAGAACCTTCAAAGCCTGTAGTGACATGTTTATTACTCTCAATGTAGACCATTGCACTTTATTTTAATTGTTGAACATACATCCTGAGCCTCTACAATATGTGCTTCCGTATACTGTATTAAAAAACGTAAAACTAAAAAAACATGAAAAAAAAACGGCCGGGTTGTCAAGGAGAAAAACATTCCCGAGCTGTTTTTTGGTCCCAGTCCAGCCCTGCCCAGTGTGTAAAGAGCAGAGATTGAGGATGTGGAATCCCAGGGTCAGTGTCGCCTGCAAGGCTTTGATGTGAGCGTTAACTGAGGATACAATGTGACGTTTGAGTTTCATAGCTGCTTATGTCTTTGTCTTTGTTCTGTAAGGACCAAACACTGAGGAACTCTCTGTCACGTGGGATAAGATTAATGAAGGAAACCAAAATGCAGGACTTGAAAATGAAGCTTAAAGATGCAATACTTGATTTATTTTCTAATGAGTCCATAAAAATGCGTATTACTACGTACAAGTTGTATTAAAATCCATAACTTAATTGAAAACTTGAGATAATTGATTCAGCTGTGTATGAATTCAGGCCGTAAAAAGTGCTGAGTAGAGACTTGGCGTGACGCCCGCTCTCCTCCAATCACAGAACGAGGAGCGGTGCTGTTCCGAGGAGGCTGCCTCCTCTAGCATCTAGAGCGCAGGTAAACAAGAGCAGCATGGAGCTGATAGCGGCTTTAGCTCCTCTGGCTGTAACTGCAGACACAGCAAAACAGCCCAAACAACGCAACAGTGAGGAAGAGAAGAGGGAACTAATGCGAAAAAATGATCAAAGAAGAAATCAAGCCCGGGTGAACATAGCTAGCTTACATCGTATCCTCTGGAGAGACTTGTCTATGGGAGAGACCTGCGGGTGCGTTACTGAGACTGAGGCTGATGTTGAGGGTGAGCTTTCGAACCCCAAAGCAGAGGGAGGCCTAACCAGTTCAACAAAAGTGTTTAATTAACCAAAAATACAAAAATACTCAAAATGAAAGGAGCAGTGGAGACAGGGAGCAGGCCGGCCGGAGAGCAGAGCGAAGACACAAGGACTGGACGAGCACAGGATCTGGAATAGCAACTGGTAAGTAATCCAAAAAGCAGGTAGGTAAAGAAAAACCTGTGCAGCACTACCGATATGACGGAATTATCTGGCAGAGGAGTGATGAGCAGACCAGGTTCAAATACTGAGTGGAGTGGAGTGAGTGGATGCAGGTGTGTCTCGTCAGCAGCTCAGCAGAGACCGGCCACGCCCCCTGTCTCACAAATGCTCTGGGAAAAGAACAAAAACAGAATCATGACAGTACCCCCCCTTCAAAGGCCGCCACCCGGCGGCCCACCGGGCTTGCCAGGATGCCGGGCATAGAAGTCCCGCAGGAGATCAGGATCCAAGATCAAGGAGCGAGACACCCACGAGCGCTCCTCAGGACCATACCCCTCCCAGTCCACCAGGTACTGCAAACCACGGCCCTGGCGTAGAACGTCCAAGAGCTCACGCACCGTGTAGGCCGGGTGATCGTCAATAACCCGGGGGGGCGGAGGAGGAACCGCCGGAGGGCTCAGGTCGCTGTGAGAGACAGGCTTAAGAAGGGACACGTGAAAAGAGGGGTGCACCTTCAACGAGGCAGGTAGCTTCAGCTTGACCACCGTGGGGTTAAGAACACAGTCAATCTCAAAAGGACCAATGTACCTTGGGGAGAGCTTCCTTGACTCACACTGCAGGGGAATATCTCTGGTAGACAACCAGACCCGCTGCCCCGGCTTGTAGTCAGGTGCAGGGACGCGACGACGATCTGCCAGCCTGCGATTCCGCTCTGCTGTGCGAGAAAGCGCTGCCCGGACCTCGTGCCATATCCTGCGTGCCCTCCTGAGGTGGAACTGGATCGAAGGTACACTCACTTCTTTCTCCTGAGTTGGAAACAGGGGAGGCTGATAACCGTAACAGGCCATGAATGGTGACATACCCGTGGCGGAGGAGGTCAGAGTGTTGTGAGAATACTCAATCCAGGGGAGAAAAGTGGACCAGGAAGCAGGATGAGCAGCTGAGACACAACGAAGGGCAGCCTCAAGGTCCTGGTTAGCCCGCTCTGTCTGGCCATTAGTCTGAAGATGATACCCCGATGACAGACTCGCGGTCGCCCCGATTGCCCGGCAAAAAACCCGCCACACCTGGGAACAAAACTGAGGACCCCGGTCGGAGACAATGTCTTGGGGAATCCCATGTAGCCTGAAAACATGTAGAACCAGGAGATTTGCTGTTTCGAGAGCTGAGGGGAGTTTAGTGAGGGGAATAAAATGTGCCGACTTGGAGAAACGGTCCACAATTGACAAAATGGCAGTGTTTCCTTCAGAGGGTGGTAGACCGGTAACAAAGTCTACCGCGATGTGCGACCAGGGACGGTGTGGAATGGGCAGAGGACGGAGCAGACCGGCAGGTGGCCGGTGGGATGCCTTGCCACGGGCACAGACAGAGCAGGCCATTACAAACTCCCTAGTGTCCGTGGTCATGGACGGCCACCAGAAGCGCTGCTTGATCAGTGAGAGAGTGCGATGAACCCCTGGGTGACAGGCCACCTTAGAGCCATGACCCCATTGGAGCACAACAGAGCGGGTAGAAGGAGGCACAAACAGGAGACCAGATGGGCACTCAGCTGGGACCTAAAGGTTCTCTTGGGCCTCCTGCACCACCCTCTCTACGTCCCAAGAGGCAGCTCCGACCACGCACGAGGAGGGTAGGATGTGTCCTCACTGGAGTCAGAAGTGGTCACAGCGGAGAACTGGCGGGACAAAGCATCGGGCTTAATATTCCTGGATCCTGGTCTGTAGGTCAGCGTAAAGTTGAAGCGACCCAGGAAGAGGGCCCACCGAGCCCGACGGGAATTAAGCCTACGAGCAGAGCGAAGGTAGGAGAGGTTCTTGTGGTCAGACCATACCAGGAACGGCTGTGATGTGCCCTCAAGCCAATGCCGCCACTCCTTGAGTGCAAGAACAATAGCCAGCAGCTCCCGGTGTCCCACGTCATAGTTTCTCTCAGCAGGTGA